CTATGAGTTACAGGTACTAATGTGAGGATGTGGTTTTTGGGGTCCATGAGTTTTTGGGGCCCGTCTACCTGTACCCTATTTTAATAGTTTTAGTAACAGTAGTTAATGCGGTGCTAGACGAATCCAGTGAGTGTGATGTATGACAGCAGTTATGCTTGATTGCAACTCAGCCAGCAATCAAGTGCTCTTTTAAAACAATTAAAATGACTTTGCTGTTACAACTTCATTCGGAAATAAGTTCTGTGTATTTGCGATTCAGTTAAAAAGAAAATATTCCCTTAAAGGATGTTTTGTGAATTTTTTATGGTATTTCAAGCAATGCCCTCTTAAACAATTTTTAACAAGTGGAAAACATTTTCCTATGTTGTTTTTTTGTTAATATCATGCATAAGTTTGTATAATGCTATCAAATCTCCCCCTTTCTCTTCTCTCAATTAGAATTGTTAAGCCTAAAGAAATAAGTCGATCTTCATATTTGAGACTGCTAATTGAAATAAAGAGATTTCATAAGTTGAAAATAAAAAATTGTAAACAATTTCTTTATTCGTCCCAGCATTTGATTTGCATTCCTGATTGTCACACTTGATCTTTCCATTTAGGATTTGTAGAAAATATAACTCCAAGATCTCGTTCAGACTTAAAAGCATAAAGTTGTATACCATTAATGAAAAGTGGATAATTTTTATTAGTTGAACCATAATGCATCACAGTACACAGCTACACAAAATTTTAGTATCATCAGCGTATAACTTTAAAACATTTGTGATTGTGTCTGAAAATCAATATAAATGTCGGAATATAAATGTTCAGTTAGCGAAATGGTCCGCTAACTAAATGCTGTGGCACACCACTAAAAACATCAACCTAATTAGAAACAATGTCATCTTTAACTACTCTCTGTCACCTATTTGTGAGAAAAGATACAGTCCATTTCAGTACTAATCCATCAATACCATAAGCTCTTAGTTTTAATAACACTCTGCTATGAGGAACTGTGTCAAATGTCTTTGCAAAATCTAGTAGAACAGCATTAATTCGAGTATGATTTTCAATGTTTAATGTTATAAAGTAAATTGTTTCCAATAGATTTGTTGTGCATGATTTATTCTATATGAACCTGTGTTGATGCTCTGTTTAACTGAAGTGAAGGAAACAGGTTTATAATTAGCTGCAACAGCTTTGTCATCTTTTATGAAAGAGGAGTTATATTTGCAGATCTAAATTGAACTGGAAGTGGGCTTGAGGATAATGATTCTCTGAAGATTAAAGTTAAAGGAAGTGCAAACGCCTCTGAAGCATTGTTTAGCATGGCAGGATGGAGTTTATCAGGTCCAAAGGCTTTATTTTCACTAAGACTCTGAAGCCTCTTCAAAACATCATTATAATTGATTTTGTCAGGAGATAGATCAGAAATATTTGTAGCACAATTGCTAATTTTGACTCAAACTTAGGAAGAGCACCATCAGGTTCAATAAAAAAATACATCTTGAAAACATTTGTTTAAAATACTAGCAATTTCAACTTGATCTTGTGAAATATATTCATCATCTATTTGTAAAGCTTTTATTGAATCCATATAAATGTTATACCCTGAATATTGACTATTGAAACACTTTTGAACCAAGTCTCTGTAACTCTAATTAGATATGGATAATTTGCATCGACAACAACCATAAATTCATCAAGTTTATTTTCTAAAGATGTTGCATTTACATAAATGAATTTCCAAAAAATATTCTTTTCTGTGTTTTGATAGAACTCTTTATCTAAATTGTATATATATTTTTGAATTTTTAGATTTGATTATGACGGATTCCATATCGAAAACGAGAGTTCAATTCTAAATTTAATCTGTTTCTCTCCTGTCTAAGTTGATGATGCAATTGCCTTTCTGCTTCAGTTAAATCTGGACTTACATATACTGATTTATGAACCTCAATATTTCTCAAAATTTTGGCTGCTAAAAGTATTGGATTTTGTAGACTCGGTTCATTAAATTCAACAAGGATAGGACCAGGTTTTGTTGAATCTTTAAAATGCAACCTTCTCATATATACTGGCTTTGTGTCAGCTTTATTATTAAAAAACAAAATACCTTTAATTGTAAGTTCATCTTCTGTTTTTCTTTCAAGAAATACTTCTTTTTTCTCAGACTCAGGTACCCCATAGGCAATTTTTTTCATTTCTCTCTCTCATTTAACTCATCGATTGTTACATTTTCAACAGTTAACTGTTCAACTGGCTTTTTTAAATTTTTACTCCAATTTTTTTTTATCTAAACCCAATCATTTCTAATACCAGAAGATTTTAATTTATCATATGCTGCATTCAAGTCAGATCTCAATTTGCTTATTTCACACAAATTTTATTTGTCAATTCTAAACTTTTCAATTGATCAAAGAGTGATAAGATAAATTATGAGAATTCTCCACACCAATCATGCAATAGTTTAGCTGCGTTTAAATGGTTGCCTGGACCAAAAACAGGCTAGTTTTTTTCCAGTAAAAAATCAGCATTCATTCTGTTTTTTAATCTGGTTGGAGAGCTACCAATATAAATACCAGTGGATTACCAACTGGACATGAATTTTTATATTATATTATTTTATACCTTATTACACAGGGACTAAAAAGTTTCCGTATGTGTTTTTTTCCATTTTTAATAACCAAAATTAAAAGAAATTTAAAAAAATGAGGTGTGTACCCTATTTAACAACATGCCAAAAAATAATATCTTAAAAAATATGTTTTATATTTATTTTTGCTCTTTATAAAGTGTTACATGTTATTTTATATTGTTTTTTTTAGTTATCTAAAGTTGTTTTTAACTTTTCAGACCTGATTCCAAAAAAACTATATTTTTTTATTTAAATTAAACATAATAGCATTTTTATATGTAAATGTAAATGGCTAAAATGATTAAGTTAGATGTTTTTGATTCTGCTTCTACCAATATTCAAATATTAATTAGATATGAGACACTCATTCACATATTAGTATTTTAGCACTTAGTTTTAACTATATCAATTGCTAACCAGTTAAAACTAATATTTACCAATTTAACTATATCATTTGCTAATCAGTTAAAACTAATATTTACCAATTTAACTATATAATTTGCTAATTAGTTAAAACTAATATTTACCTATTTAACTATATCATTTGCTAACCAGTTAAAACTAATATTTACTAATTTAACTATATCAATTGTTAACCAGTTAAAACTAATATTTACCAATTTAGGAAAAAACGTTTCAAACTTTGATAAAAGTAGAATAATTCAAATGCACAATGCAAATTGGTCTCTGTGTAATATTTCAAAAGAAGTTGGATGTGGTAAATCTACAGTTTAATTAATCAGCAGGAAGTCTGGATCTAAAAGAAAGCGAAAAACTACACAAAAAGATGACGATTGTTTAATTGTGAGGGAAATGATGAATTTACATCAGTAAATAAGATTAACCAAAATTTGAATTATTTTTGACACTTCTAAAGAGTTGGAACTTGCTGGAAGTTAGCTTGTTAACAAAACTAGTTGAAAACATGCCAAACAGATGCCAAGTGGTTATTACTAAAAAAGGTTATGCAACCAAGTATTAAAAATTATTATAATACTAAAAAGGCTGATTGAATTTTATTTATTTGTAACAAGGGAAAAGTGATTGTATTAAGTATTCTGTATTAAACAACAAAGCTGTAAAAAATTAGAAACCATAATTAATTTTACCAATTTTTTTAAACAAACAACAAAGTTAGGCAAAGAATTCCAGTTTTTAACTATTCTGTTGTTAAAGAAGTTATTTCTTGAGTGAAATTTCTCACGTTTCATTCTCACGTTTGATTCTTTAATGATGGATAAAAGAGTAGTAATAGTTATTTTTTCACATAATTTTTATAAAATTTAAAAATTATTTTGATAAGATTGAATTTTTGTTCTTTTTTTTAAAAATCATGCTGTCTCTTTTTTTTTGAGGATACTGTATTTGTGTACTTTTGATATAAAACATCACAATAAGATTTTTTGATAAACATGATTTATTTGAAAAATATGATAAACTGTTTATCATATTTTTCATATAAATCATGTTTATCATGTTTTTCAAATAAATCATGTTCAAAACATGATTTATTTGAAAAATATGATAAACATGATTTATTTGAAAAACATGATAACCATGGTTTATTTGAAAAACATGATAAACATGGTTTATTTGAAAAACATGATAAACATGATTTATATGAAAAATAAATGGTTCAGAGACAGTAATCTTTTTTAAATTTTTTTTTTTTTTTTCTTTTTAAATGACACTTATTTCACATTATATTACATCATATACTTCATACAAACCTTTAGCTGAGTGGGAACCAAATAATTTAATCTGGCTTTGTCAAAAATAAATATAAATTTGAATTGCATGACTCCTTTATATTTTTTATTATTCACTCCCCTCATCCCACCCCCAAAAATTGAAACAGTTAAAGCATCACATCTTACATTGATAGACAGCTAAAAAATCATGCTTCCTAATTAATAAAATAAATATCAATTCAGTTTTTTATAAAATTGAAAATATCAGTTTTTCTAAAAACATTTTAATGTTTTTGTCTTCAGTTCATGAGCTCATGAGTTTCATTGTAAGTCAGTTCACAAGATTTATTGTGAGTGAGGGTGCCAAATGAACATATATAAGTGCGTGTAATGCATAAAAAAATGTAATGATTATTAAGGATGTTAAAAACATATGCGGTTCATTAGTATAAAATATTTGAGTAATGAATAAATATCAAGATTCAAAAACAAAAAATTGCTATTGCAAGTATTACAAATGAATGTAACTATAGTAACAAAATAATTTGTAACTATAGTTACGTAGAGAGAAATATATTTATGCAATTGTGAAAAATCAGTAAACGTAATATTGTATAGGTACGGATTTAAATAACAAACTGACATTTATCAAAGATAATATTTTATAATGTGGTTTCTTTAAAAAATCTTACTTTTCAGTCGAATATGCTTCTTCATTTTTGACAATATTTTCATTAAATTTAACTGCATCATGATCAGTGTTCTTGAATTGAAATGTAGAAATATAGAGAGGACAAAAATAAGCTAATAAATAATGCATTCTGGAAAAACCTAAATCCTTTATTGGTCCAAACCAAACATCATTCAAAATAGTCTGAACAGCATTGTGTGAAATAAACTCCTTATGATCGCACAAAACAGCTAAATTCAAACATGTATGCAAATTAAACTCTAAAGATATGTTGGTGATGAGTTTTTCTGTTTTCTCTCTGTTAATTTTAAAACATTGATCTAACAAAGATGTACAAAGTTTGCGAAATGCACTAAAAAATTTTAAAATTATCCAATAAAGTTTTTTAATTATTTGTTGCAATAAACTTTCATATGACAAAAAAACCCATTTAATGATTTATCAATAAAATATGACTTTTTATTAACATCTTTTAAAATATGACTTTTATTAAAACCTTTTAAAATGTGGTTGCTATCTAAATATAAAAATAAATAAAGGCAAACAAATCTTACAATTCATTTTTTTCTATATTAATTCTGATGTCATCTGGAAGATTATGTTTTCTTGCTTTCTCTGCTAAATAATTATTGACTACAATGCCAAAAAATGCTTTTAATAAACATTCTTCTTCAAAACCCCATACATAATGAGCCAATTCAGGCATATTGGAAAGCAAAGCAAAAAAAAACAGTTGCTTATATGGATGTGAAAACTCTTTCTGTCCTTTGTTAACCTATGGAAAAATTAGTAACAATTTCATTAATGAAAATTTTTTTTTTTTTTAAATTCAATTTTTAACATGAATTAAATCAGCAATTTAATGCATGAAAAATATAATTTTTGCTGTTAATTTCTGTAGATAATTCAACATAATTACTATCAAAGGAATACTTACAATTAATTTTGCCACTATTTAATGACATACAAACCTGTTCAACAGGTCAACATAAACAAACCAACCTTGAGTGATTATAGGTTAGTTTTATCAAAAGCCAAATTCTGAAATCATATTCTACATACTGTGTTCAGTAAAGTAACGAACTAATAAAATACTTAACATATTAGGTTTGTGTATTTTGTTTGGATTTCGGTAAGCAGTAACTATATTTAAAGTCAACAGTAACTGCATTTAAAGTCGACAGTATCTACATTTGTATTTACCTTTATGTATTTACCTTTAACTTTGTAATGTATTTACCTTTAACTTTAAAAAAATCAATATTTTTTTTGAAGCAAGTTTATTCAGATCTTTGAACCTCGTATACATTTAAAATGTAGCTAATGTTGAAAATGTAGTAACTGTTGACTTAAAATGTCATTTAAACATCATTATATGAGGTCCAATTTTTTCTGTTCAATTGTAAATGAGAATGAATCACATTTATTATTAATATTGTTACTTGGTCTGTAAATTATGTATCTGTTAAAAAAAATAACAGTATTAAGCTTGGTTTTAATCAAAACTTATTTAAAACAATTCTCAATCCAAATATATAAAATTGCTTGGATCAAAACAGTAACAAAAAAAAATATCACTTTAATAATGCAATATTAAAAAACATTAGTCAAGCACTTTCAGTATTGATCATAAAAAAATTGCTGCATGTTACTTTGATTAAACAATTTAGAAGTATATATACATATATAAAGTATAGATAAAAATATAGAAAGTGTATATTCTTGTAAAACTACATTAATTTTTGAAACTCATAAATAGTAAGTTAAATAACTTTTAGTCACGAAGAAATTTATATTGGAGCTCTTCAATCGTATATAGATAATTCATCTATAAGAAGGAAATCAATAAAAAGCCTAAATATAATTGTGGGTAATGGTAGGAGCAGCTCTTAAACTTTGGATGGTAATCTTCAGTGGTAGTATCACAATAAAAAAACTTAGATCTGATCTGCAAAACAGGTTAGTACTTAGAACCAAACCATCTTGTTAGTAAGTTAAAAATTGGCAGGGTCAATCAACCAACAAAAATCAATGCATCCTATATATATTTTTCTATTTGAAATTCATGTTTGTTTTGTATACATATATATATATATATATATATATATATATATATATATATATATATATATATATATATATATATATATATATATATATATATATATATATATATATATATATATGCATGTATATTTAAACTCATCCTCATAATTATCAAGCTTTACACAATTTAACTAAAGAATTAAAATCTAAAAAAATTATTTTCTAACCTCTGCCTAAGATTATAGCTCCTTTTCTTGTTTTGTTATATTCATACAACACATTCAATGTTCATCATCTTCTCTTTCAGCAAATATTACACCGTGTAAATAAATAGCAACATGTTTATATCCATATATACCCACATTATATATGCACAAATGTGCCACTTTCCCATTGGTTTTAACCTGAGTCTTATTCTATTCCACCTTTTTCTTATGCAGTTGCTATATTAAACCATAATCTTTTTTTTTTCGTCTTTTTTTCAAGAACATCTTTATTGAGAACAAAAGTCTTTTTATTATTGCAAGAAGTTAATGTAAAAAGATCCTGCCTGATGCTAAGCTTCGTTATTCTTAGTTTGATAAATCTTGTTTTTTATCTCTTATGTTAAATTCTAGAGACTTTTGGAAAATCTTTAACAGTGTCACTAACTAAAGTAAGTCTAACATTGCATCTCTAATATATAGGTCTGATTTTTTAACTTTTTGCCAGAATAAGGCATAACTATTTGCAAAGAACTTCTCTACTAATTTGACTTGTGAATCTAATGGCCATACTCTATCTGTCATTCCAATTAAACAGATTAATCTATTATTAGATATCCAAATCACTCTGGCTTCGGATGCTAAAACCAATTCTCAATTTTATTTTTCTGTTGTTTGTAGTTCAGTTAACATTTCCATCAAAATTACAAAAGTATTTTCCGGAACTTCTTCAATCCTAGCTAAACTATTATTAAGTGCTTAATAAGCGGTTTCAATATTTAAAAACTCTAGAAAACACTCTGACCAAATATCTCTAGTATTAGTTTCTTTATATAAAAGTTTTAATATCACCTTATTTCATTCTAAACACGGTACTAATTGTATAATTCAGTAAATTGCACTCTTTAATGGTATCTGTCCCTCCACGCTATAAAATTTTTTATTCATCTAGTTTATTTCCTAGCCCATCAACAAAACTTAGAACTTTTACCCGTCTTTATTTTTTCCTGACTTATACAACCTACAACCTTTTAAGTCTTCAGCCAATTGATTCCTTTCTCTTTAACTCTATTATTTATTTTCTTGTAACTCCCTCAGAATTACAAAAGTTAAGATTGCCAATAAATTGGCGACCTCAAACTGTTAGAGGTTGGCATCAGGTTGGCAAAAAAAATTTGACGCAAAGGGGTTACTGTATAACATAGAAACGAGATTGGCATTTTTTTTGACAACTTCAAACACTTTAAGATTAGCATGGCTGATATATATATATATATATATATATATACATATATATATATATATATATATATATATACATATATATATATATATATATATATATATATATATATATATATATATATATATATATATATATATATATATATATATATATATATATATATATATATATAAATATATAAATATATAAATATATAAATATATATATAATATATATATATATATATATATATATATATACATATATATATATATATATATATATATACATATATATATATATATATATATATATATATATATATATATATATATATATATATATATATATATATATATATATATATATACATATATATATATATATATATATATATATATATATATATATATATATATATATATATATATATATATATATATATATATATATATACATACATAAATCTCAATATTTAACAAATAGTATATGAATGCATAAATTTACAACCCTCAGAACTAGGAAAAATGAGTTTGGCAATAATTTGCCAATCTTTTAGAAGTCGGCAAAAAAAAAAATTTGATACAATGGTCTTATCATAAGACACAGAAACAAGGTTGGCAATGTTTTGCTGATCTCAAACACTTTAAGGTTTGCATTGCTGAATGCTGACCCTAATTTTGAGGGCTGAATTTATAATATATAAAGTACTATATTTTTTTTTTAGCCCCAGCCATCAACACAAATACAAATACAGAATAGAAAAAACCAAAATAAATTAACATACATGAGCATAAAACTAAACCTAACTTAAATCATAAAATTCTCACCACAATAAACTTATCTGTTTCTTTGTTTCTTACGAAAATGGAACAAGCTCTGCCAATAATTTTTTGAATTTTTTTTAGTGATAAAGAAATATTTGCGGGGTTATGATTTTTGTACCTACACAATGTCTTCATTACTTTTATATAGTCCCCAGTGGCAGGTAAATAATGCTTATCTTTTATTAATTTTTTAAAAACAGAATGGTGGTTTTTAAAGCCATAACCATACAGAAACTGAAGTACATCTGCGGTAAGTAAAGACTGAATACTGATTCCAAAGTTAAGAAACAGTTTTATAAAATCAACTCGGTTCATTGCTAAAGCCATGATCATTACAGAATTCAAATCTTTTTCCTGAAAAATAAATCAAATTTTTTTAACATATAATACCTAATGACATTGTATTTACAATATGTTATGGGTGATTTGGAAGCATTACAAAATTTACACTCTATAACATAAAATATTTTGTTAACACAAGATTTCTTGATTTCTTGTAGTTTAATAAGTTGTTAAAAACTAAAAACTCAAAGAGCTTAAATATATAAAAAAAATCTAACCATCTGCTGCATCTGTTGCTTCAGACAGTCATCCATTACAGCTGTATCATTTATTTTAGATAGTGAAATGCAATCTTTTGCAAGGTCAGCTCGATTCCATAACTATGTCAGTTTTAGCTGCTTATACAATGACAGTTCCTCACCTCCTATAAGCAGTTGTAATAAAAGAATATCTTTAAAGAAGTTTTAATTTAAGTTAATAAATTGTTTGTAAACAAAAAAACAACTAAACTTTTTTAATATTGGATTTTTATTGATTGGATAAATTTTCCATTATGTTAGTGTGTATTTGTTTTAGTAATATGTTCCAGTTGAATGTTGCAGTAATTTCTCTAAATTCAGAAACTCACGTCAGGTCAAGATTATCATGGTCACAATGTAACTGATAACAAGTAATCCAGTACAACTTGCCTTAAGTTCTACAATCTAGAAGGAATTCTCTTTTTAAGTAAATACTAGGAGAAGTTAGCTTTGGGGCTCTTGGTTGAGTAAAAATAAAGTAAACTACATAATGGCCAAAAGTATAAGTACATTGTATAATAAAAAATCAAACTTGATTTGGCTAATTCATACCTTCTGTGTGTATTTCAAGAAAATTTTCTTTTGGGTTTTTGTCTTTGACATTAATGAGTGATTTTGTTCAAGGTCAAATTTTAACTATAAAGGTAAGTTTGTTTGTTTAAATTGCACTTTAAATGTATACCTGTGTTGCAAAAAACATGAGGGATGCTCAGTAATAATCTAGAATATTTTTGTAAGAGTATAAAAGTGAAAGCAAAGTGTTAGTTTGTTGAATTTCCTAAACAATTCTCTTCGTTTTGCTACATAAATAACTAAATATGACCAATAATTTATGGAGCTATCAACGAATATGTTAATATTCACAAATGTATTTTTGAAAGTCTATTATATCTACAAATATAAGGTTATTAGATTTTGGGTTCATTGCCAGGAACTTCCCCAGACCTCAACCTCATAGAAAATGTTTGGATGGTTATGAAAAAAAAAGTTGCTAATCTGCGTCTCTGTTCTTTAGCAGATCTATTTGATGCCATGCTGCATAAGGACTATTTTAAGAAATAAAGTTGACCACACAAAATATTAAACTTAAAGCTACACAACATAGTAAAATTACTATTTTTATTAGTATTAGTGTGTTTTTAATTTTTTAGCTCACGATATTTTCCTGTTTAGTTCAATAAAAAACAATAATTTGTAGTATTATGTGTATGTTTATGAACATTAGCGTCAAAATCAGTCTGCGTACTCACACTTTTGGCCACAACTGTAGAGATAGTGTCTCAATAAAAAAACTCATTTTAGGCAGATGTTAACAGTATCTGGCTATTGCCTTCTAGAAGACTTCCCAGGTATTTAAGAGGTTAGCAAAAATTTTTACTTAAGACTTAAGGGGTTAGCAGAAATTTTTATTTCTAATAGTGTGGTGTATATGTAAACCTCTATTACAGTATCTCCTGCCTGTTCCACTATCACATTCATTCATGATGAATGTTAGAATCAACATGATGAATGATAGAATCATCATGATGAATGTTAGAATAATCATGATAAATGTTAGAATCATCAGGATGAATGTTAGAATCATCAGGATGAATGTTAGATTCATCATGGATGAAGGTGGTAGAGGAACTGGCAGGAGATATCGTAATAAATTGAATCAAGATCTAAGATTGATTTAAGTTCTTTACTAAATAAAAACATGAATGAAGAACCAAAAAATATTAAACAAAAATTTGATCGGACCAGAAGCTCTTGCAAAGGCCTGAGTTGTGTGGGGATGATTGTGAGAAAAAGCTGAAGGCAATCTCATTGTCAGATAACATGGTTCAAAGGAAAATTGTTATGAGAAATTTTTCTCATTTCTAATGATACAAAGAGGCAGATAATTCCAGAGATCAAGGACAAGACTAAACTAAGTTTAGAGTTGAGAGGTTTCACAGAATTTACACAATAAAAACTTTTTTTCAAACATTTACTAAAATCCAGTAATCACACACACACACACACACACACACACACACACACACACACACACACACACACACACACACACACACACAGATGTTCAACAACTAAAATAATAAAAATGAAAACATAAAATAATACTTTAAAAAGCAGATTTACAGAAAAGTGTACAACAGAAAATCAAAAAATAACTTTGTTAAGAAATGGCAACCATTTTTAAATAAAAACCTCCAAAATTGGGTAAAATGAGTTGATTTATATCTTGATTATATCCGGTGGGTTTTTTTGAAAATTGTAACTGTAACATTATACTTGATTTTTACAGACCATGACCACTCTATGGGATTAGAGGAACACAGGGATTAGTAGAAAAAATTGGAATTCAAGATAAGTTTAGTTCTAATGTATAAGTGAATAAAAATTCAAAAACCTGTCAAAAGTGCTTTAAGAATTGCTTCATCTACACCGTTTTTATTTGAAATTTCAAACAAAGTTATCTAAAAATTCAAAAAATTCAAAAAACTAAAAGTGAAAAAAATAAAAAAGTCGAAAAAATATAAATTTTTTTACTAACAAAATCTCTCTTCCTCATGCAGTTTAAAACAACTTTATAAAAATCCATTTGCCTTTCTTTAGTTTGAGATTGCAACTCAGGCAGAAGATCAAGTAGTTTATTAAATAATAACTTATCACAGACATTGTATACAGCATCTATATCAACAACCCTGTTATAAGTATAAGCTAATAAATCTGCAGCACGACCACTACCAACAATGATAACAACAGATAGAGGAGGTTCCTTCATTAAAGCTGCAAGAACAGTGTCAAGTGTTCCAGGCCCACCTTCTATTACCATTAGAACAGATGGTACATGAACTAAAAATAATATTTATACATTTTATTAAATACACATTAGTTAAAAGTTAATGGTTATTAATATTTATTGTTTTTGTTTGCATGATAATCAATGTAGTATACAAACCTTCTTTCATAATATACTCTTCAAGTCTTGACCTTAAAGGTATTTCTTTACCATACTTTCCGATAGAACCATCATCGACCATTAAATGATGAGTGTGATTGTGATCTAAAAATGCACCTCTCTGAACCAAACTGCATGCAACTTGGTAGTCAACTCCTCCTCCAAACTTGTCTCCTGCAGAAATCAATTTGTTTGCATTGGTAATAATCCCCCATGTTGAAATTCCTATGCACGCTTTTGAAGTTCCTTGTAATGCTTCACCAACTTGTTTCATGACACCAGTGTTTGTTCCACCAGTTATAACCCAGGCTCCAGGTGTTTGTGCAACCTTTAAAATAGTAATGTATGGAATTAAATGTATTTGTGTATTTTTATTTTAACTGCCAGCATTGTGAAGTTAACAAAAAATTTATCTATGGTATAAGCACAGTGCAGAAATCTCGATTATTTAGAAATGCTGCTAAATAAATTAAACATATTTTCTAGACAAAATGAAAACAAATTGCTATCAGATGATAGACGTAAATTAAGCTACTTTTTGATGTCTTACCATAGTGAAAAATTATTCAGTTCATCATCATGTGTTACAAATAGAGACAAAATACATTTAAAGTCACAACTAAATAATAATCAAAAGTACCAGTCATGTAAAGATCTTCATATTTAGAAGCTATTAGAACACTTTAAATGTTATTGACACAATTGCAATAATAAACTTGTAAACAATGATATTCTTAAATAATAATGAAATAAGGACAAAAAACTTTGGGCAGTTTTTTTTTTAAATCAACTGTCTTACAACTTCTTGAACTAAAAGTTAAAAAAAAAAAAAGAATCAATAAAAAATTAAGTTTCTATCAATCTAGTTAAAACGAACATAGAAAGAAAAATATTTAATATTTTTTATTAATATGTTATTTTTATTAAAATAACCATTTTATTAGCATTTTGTTTAACAGTCACTTTAACCATATTTACAAGGTAAGTAATAAATAAACTTTTACAAGAAATAAATTTTCATGTGTTTCAATATGAAATATTTTATTCAAGAGTTTGTAAAAACACAGCTCTTTGATCTTTAGTATTCAAGTATATATTGCAGTTTTTAAAGTTTCCTCAATGTTTTTGAGATTTTATATAATGCAGTTTTTAAAGTTTCCTCAATATTTTTGAGATTTTATATATTGCAGTTTTTAAAGTTTCCTCAATGTTTTTGAGATTTTATATAATGCAGTTTTTAAAGTTTCCTCAATGTTTTTGAGATTTTATATATTGAAGTTTTTAAAGTTTCCTCAATGTTTTTGAGATTTTATATAATGCAGTTTTTAAAGTTTCCTCAATGTTTTTGAGATTTTATATAATGCAGTTTTTAAAGTTTCCTCAATGTTTTTGAGATTTTATATATTGCAGTTTTTAAAGTTTCCTCAATGTTTTTGAGATTTTATATAATGCAGTTTTTAAAGTTTCCTCAATGTTTTTGAGATTTTATGTATTGCAGTTTTTAAAGTTTCCTCAATGTTTTTGAGATTTTATATAATGCAGTTTTTAAAGTTTCCTCAATGTTTTTGAGATTTTATATATTGCAGTTTTTAAAGTTTCCTCAATGTTTTTGAGATTTTATATAATGCAGTTTTTAAAGTTTCCTCAATGTTTTTGAGATTTTATATAATGCAGTTTTTAAAGTTTCCTCAATGTTTTTGAGATTTTATATATTGCAGTTTTTAAAGTTTCCTCAATGTTTTTGAGATTTTATATAATGCAGTTTTTAAAGTTTCCTCAATGTTTTTGAGATTTTATATATTGCAGTTTTTAAAGTTTCCTCAATGTTTTTGAGATTTTATATAATGCAGTTTTTAAAGTTTCCTCAATGTTTTTGAGATTTTATATATTGCAGTTTTTAAAGTTTCCTCAATGTTTTTGAGATTTTATATATTGCAGTTTTTAAAGTTTCCTCAATGTTTTTGAGATTTTATATAATGCAGTTTTTAAAGTTTCCTCAATGTTTTTGAGATTTTATATAATGCAGTTTTTAAAGTTTCCTCAATGTTTTTGAGATTTTATATATTGCAGTTTTTAAAGTTTCCTCAATGTTTTTGAGATTTTATATAATGCAGTTTTTAAAGTTTCCTCAATGTTTTTGAGATTTTATATATTGCAGTTTTTAAAGTTTCCTCAATGTTTTTGAGATTTTATATATTGCAGTTTTTAAAGTTTCCTCAATGTTTTTGAGATTTTATATATTGCAGTTTTTAAAGTTTCCTCAATGTTTTTGAGATTTTATATAATGCAGTTTTTAAAGTTTCCTCAATGTTTTTGAGATTTTATATATTGCAGTTTTTAAAGTTTCCTCAATGTTTTTGAGATTTTATATAATGCAGTTTTTAAAGTTTCCTCAATGTTTTTGAGATTTTATATAATGCAGTTTTTAAAGTTTCCTCAATGTTTTTGAGATTTTATATAATGCAGTTTTTAAAGTTTCCTCAATGTTTTTGAGATTTTATATAATGCAGTTTTTAAAGTTTCCTCAATGTTTTTGAGATTTTATATATTGCAGTTTTTAAAGTTTCCTCAATGTTTTTGAGATTTTATATAATGCAGTTTTTAAAGTTTCCTCAATGTTTTTGAGATTTTATATATTGCAGTTTTTAAAGTTTCCTCAATGTTTTTGAGATTTTATATAATGCAGTTTTTAAAGTTTCCTCAATGTTTTTGAGATTTTATATATTGCAGTTTTTAAAGTTTCCTCAATGTTTTTGAGATTTTATATATTGCAGTTTTTAAAGTTTCCTCAATGTTTTTGAGATTTTATATAATGCAGTTTTTAAAGTTTCCTCAATGTTTTTGAGATTTTATATAATGCAGTTTTTAAAGTTTCCTCAATGTTTTTGAGATTTTATATATTGCAGTTTTTAAAGTTTCCTCAATGTTTTTGAGATTTTATATATTGCAGTTTTTAAAGTTTCCTCAATGTTTTTGAGATTTTATATAATGCAGTTTTTAAAGTTTCCTCAATGTTTTTGAGATTTTATATAATGCAGTTTTTAAAGTTTCCTCAATGTTTTTGAGATTTTATATATTGCAGTTTTTAAAGTTTCCTCAATGTTTTTGAGATTTTATATATTGCAGTTTTTAAAGTTTCCTCAATGTTTTTGAGATTTTATATAATGCAGTTTTTAAAGTTTCCTCAATGTTTTTGAGATTTTATATAATGCAGTTTTTAAAGTTTCCTCAATGTTTTTGAGATTTTATATAATGCAGTTTTTAAAGTTTCCTCAATGTTTTTGAGATTTTATATAATGCAGTTTTTAAAGTTTCCTCAATGTTTTTGAGATTTTATATATTGCAGTTTTTAAAGTTTCCTCAATGTTTTTGAGATTTTATATAATGCAGTTTATAAAGTTTCCTCAATGTTTTTGAGATTTTATATATTGCAGTTTTTAAAGTTTCCTCAATGTTTTTGAGATTTTATATAATGCAGTTTTTAAAGTTTCCTCAATGTTTTTGAGATTTTATATAATGCAGTTTTTAAAGTTTCCTCAATGTTTTTGAGATTTTATATATTGCAGTTTTTAAAGTTTCCTCAATGTTTTTGAGATTTTATATATTGCAGTTTTTAAAGTTTCCTCAATGTTTTTGAGATTTTATATATTGCAGTTTTTAAAGTTTCCTCAATGTTTTTGAGATTTTATATAATGCAGTTTTTAAAGTTTCCTCAATGTTTTTGAGATTTTATATATTGCAGTTTTTAAAGTTTCCTCAATGTTTTTGAGATTTTATATATTGCAGTTTTTAAAGTTTCCTCAATGTTTTTGAGATTTTATATAATGCAGTTTTTAAAGTTTCCTCAATGTTTTTGAGATTTTATATAATGCAGTTTTTAAAGTTTCCTCAATGTTTTTGAGATTTTATATATTGCAGTTTTTAAAGTTTCCTCAATGTTTTTGAGATTTTATATAATGCAGTTTTTAAAGTTTCCTCAATGTTTTTGAGATTTTATATAATGCAGTTTTTAAAGTTTCCTCAATGTTTTTGAGATTTTATATAATGCAGTTTTTAAAGTTTCCTCAATGTTTTTGAGATTTTATATAATGCAGTTTTTAAAGTTTCCTCAATGTTTTTGAGATTTTATATAATGCAGTTTTTAAAGTTTCCTCAATGTTTTTGAGATTTTATATAATGCAGTTTTTAAAGTTTCCTCAATGTTTTTGAGATTTTATATATTGCAGTTTTTAAAGTTTCCTCAATGTTTTTGAGATTTTATATATTGCAGTTTTTAAAGTTTCCTCAATGTTTTTGAGATTTTATATATTGCAGTTTTTAAAGTTGCCTCAATGTTTTTGAGATTTTATATAATGCAGTTTTTAAAGTTTCCTCAATGTTTTTGAGATTTTATATATTGCAGTTTTTAAAGTTTCCTCAATGTTTTTGAGATTTTATATATTGCAGTTTTTAAAGTTTCCTCAATGTTTTTGAGATTTTATATATTGCAGTTTTTAAAGTTTCCTCAATGTTTTTGAGATTTTATATATTGCAGTTTTTAAAGTTTCCTCAATGTTTTTGAGATTTTATATATTGCAGTTTTTAAAGTTTCCTCAATGTTTTTGAGATTTTTGCTGTTCATAAATTTAATTTTAACTTAATTTTTTTTTTTTCAAAATGCTTGCATTAATTTTGCAATAAAAATGCAGTTGAGTGCCCAATGAACACTGATTTAAGATAACAAGTTTTGACTATATCAACTTTTTCACCCATGTCAAACTGAAAGGTCCATTTGAGCCTTCTGAAAACTTTGTTCATGGATTCGCCAAATGAAACAGTGTTTCATTTGACGAATTTAACTTGTTTTGAAAAAAGGAGTTTAATTATTGAGATAAATGGTGGATGTACATTGAAATAACTTAGCATTTACATAACAATGTCTTCTGGTAATGGTTTACTAAATAGTTTTCTAGAATCAATTAATGTACACATTCAATATTTAGAACACAATATTACACATCCAATGATTTTTGGTTTTAAGTGTTGATGGATAGGTTTATCAGTATTTATTGTTTTTAGGTGTTCTGACATTTGAGCATTCTCCCCAAGGCCAAGAAGCCCACTACAGATGAGGAGGCTACTTGTGGTTATAACCCTCTCTCAACTCTATAACTCCAAAACACAAACCTTAACGAACAAGGCTGCTGCGCGGAGAAACAAGTTGAGCGCTGTACAACCAGGGACGTGGTGGGAATTGAACTCAGAACCTCTCTCTTATGAAGCAAGCGCTCTACCACTACACCACTACCGCATATAAAGTATCAAATGATTGATACCACATATAGGTGGTTTCAATCACTTTTTTGCTACTTTAGCTTTTAAACTATTATTAATATTAACATTTTAAAATTAACTGAAAAATATATTGATTTTTATAATTGTTTAAAAACCTGTAAAAATAACTACTTTAAAGACCTATTATTTATATTTTTTTCGATAAACAGATTTTGTTTTTAAATATTTACTTTTATATTTTTATTTTATTATTTTGTTTTAATAAGAAATTTACACTATTAAAGGTTAGAAGTTACAGAAAAACAAAAAATATAAATAAAGAATATGATTGACATAAGACTTAAAAAAATGTAAATTGCATGTCAGGAAAACATAATTATTTGTAGAAAAGAGAAAGAACCTTTATGGATGGATTATAGTAAAGAGAAAGAATCTTTATGGACATTTATGGACTATGGATGGAAGTTCAAGGACTAAGAACAGATTCAAATGTGTTTACATTTTTGAACCTTGTTAAGAAGAGAACCCTTACGGAAATATTCCATGGAAAACCCATGGAATTCCATGAGTAAACCATGGTTTTCCCATGAAAAACGGGAATTCCATGGAATTTCCATGGGTAAATTTCATGAAAATTGAAATCCTATGGAATTTCCATGGGTGAACCATGTTTTTTTTTTCATAGCTTAAGCTGCGCCATGATTGTTACAAATGCGCTTTTAAAGATGGCGTCATAGCTCGTAGAGTTATGATTATTTTTAAATTAGAAAACAATACTTACTGCATTCTTCTGTTTTTCTGTGTTTAATAAGGCTATGAATTATATGTTTTTTATAATGCAATACATTTATATGATTTAACTAAACATACAGACATAAACAACTAGATATATTTATCATATTATAATGCATTATAAAAGGGATTATTTTTAATTATATTTTATTATATATTATTTATGCATATACTTATTTTAACTGTTTCCAGTAGCTTTGCTTACTTTGCATAACTTGCAATAGTATAGCAAGTATGTCAAGTAAACCAGTTTGAATTTTAATGCCTACTTGGCAAATTATTTGCCAAATAATTATTATTTGGTTTACAACAAATAAATGTTTAGTTTTAATCTACATTAAATAACTAGTGTATTAATGTACATAGTGTAATTTAATGTACATTCAAACTAGTATAATTATTATTATAAAATTTATCGAACGTATTAAAGAAACTTATTTAAAATAATAATATACAAGCAGTATATTAGATAAGATTAGATAACTAAGATAATAAGATTAGATAACTAATGTACAAAAGATAACTAGTATGATCTTTTTTATTTTTTTTTTATAATAGCCTTAGATTACATAAAAATGCTTGAAGTTTATTGTATCGTAAATGTTCATTAAGTATTAAAAAACATTTTTTTATGATAAATGTTCTATTCAATTTTAGTTCTGTTAAGTTGTTTTTGTCTTTTTGTTGTAGTTTTTTCTTTAGAATTATTAGAATATGTAAATAATGTAATATAAATAATGTTTATAAATTCTTTTATATTTACTTTATTATTTCATTTAAATTACTACATTATAAGCCAACAGGTTTGACTGGCAATATAAATAATGTTGTTCATCGTTTATATTGTTTATAACATCGTCAGTTTTTATATGCATTTAATATTTTTAAAAATAGTTCAAAAGCTGTCAAAATAAAATGGTGAATTGAGTTTAAACCAGAAAAGATATAAACGTAATCTTTGGGATTCAACTTGTAAGGATGTTCCAAGAACCACTTAGTTGGAGAAGGAAAACTGTGGTAATATTTTATAAGTATCAGTAAGGGAATTTACTTAATGCACAAGATTTTACTTCATAGTTAAATATAAGCATATAAAAGCAATGTTTATAAATAATACACTATTATTTATTATAATACAATTATTTTTATTTGTTTATATTTAACTGATGTAAAGTGCTTGTCCTTAGTTAAAATAAATTAATTTATGCACACACTTTGATATTTACTATGCTTTTACATTACTATACTTTATAAATTACATATTAGTTATGTTTTAAATAGTGAAGTAAAAATATAATAAATTTTTGAATTTAATGGTATGTGCGTAAGTTCTTTTATTTTAACTTTATCATTTTATTTAAATTACTGCATTATAAGCAGGTAAGTTTGACTGACAATATAAATAATATTGTACATCATGCAGACAGCTCAGACAAAGAAGTAAGTTTTTACTTAAAATTACAATTTATAAGTTATACTATATTTGTTGCTGCCTTATTCTATATAAATGTTACTAACATGCAGGTAAAATCTATATATGTGTATAAATCTTTTCATTTTAACCTTATCATTTCATTTAAATATAAATTTTTAATTTATTTATTTAGCCGTTCATTAACAAGTCCTGTGCTTTATAATATATTAAAAAATGGAAGGACGTGAAGAAAACAGGTTTGTAAATGATGTTGTACATCATGCAGATAGCTCAGAAGAAGAAGTAAGTTTTTTTTTTAATTACAAAAGTAAATATATAATATAATATTTGTTGCTGCCTTGTTCTATATAAATGCTTCTAACATGCAGGTAACATTTATATATGTATTAGTTTGAATAAATCATTTTAATAAAGTTACATTATAGGCAGGAATGTTTGACTGGAAATATAAACGATGTTGTACATAATGCAGATAGCTTAGGCAAAAAAGAGGTAACAAACTAATAATTTGTATTTATAAATAATGATATATTCATTGCTACTTTTTTCTATATACCTAACATTTGGCAACATTCATAATTGTGTATAATGCCTAATTATAAAGTAAGTTATAATAGATAATAATTATAAGTAAAATGAATTAGTAAATAAAGAAAACTAGTTAGAATATATATAATAGTTGTATGATGTATTGTCTAGATTGGTGAAATGGAGAATGAGACTAACTAGGGTGAAAAAAAATGAATATTAATATGTGAATGGTACTTTGTTTAACATCTACCTGTTTCTACAGATACAGTACAGACGCATTTATAAATGGGCTTGATGTTTTTTTGAATTAAATATGTTGTATTGATGGTTCTTTTTAACTTGTTAAAACTTGAAGTTATTATCAAATTTATATATACTATTTTTATCAAATAGTTAATATAAAATAATAAACATGTAAATTGTTTTATTTTTTGTAAAAATTGTTTTCTTGATAAATTTCAATTGTTTATCACTATGTATATCACTTATAGTATTATATTACTTGTAATTTTTTGTTTTATTTATTTTCAGTATGTTATACATATGCGTGCATTAAATATTGTGGGTGTGTCAAGTTTTGATGTTTTAGGTGCATTATAGCTATTATTTTTCAAAGATTTGTAGGATTTAACAAGATTTAAATTTTATTTTGTTTATTGATTTTATTTGAAGAAAGCGATCTCATAGATTAAGAGAACTCAATAATAGTGGGATAAAATTTGCTTTTATGATTTAATATGACAATTCAAATAACATTAGATAAAAAAACTTGAAAACAAATCATGCTTTTTTACCATGAAAAATCCATAAGTTTTCATTGGAAAGGTGTTCCTAATACCTATGGAAATTCCATGGTTTTTCCATGGATGGAAAATCATTGAATATCCATGGTATTTGGAACACTTTTCCATGAAAAACTTAAAGATTTTTCATGGGAAATTCATGTGTTTTCCATGGAAAACTCATGGTTTTTCCATGGAAAACTCATGGTTTTTCCATGGAAAACTCATGGTTTTTCCATGGAAAACTCATGGTTTTTCCATGGAAAACTCATGGTTTTTCCATGGAAAACTCATGGTTTTTCCATGGAAAACTCATGGTTTTTTCATGGAAAACTCATGGTTTTTTCATGGGAACGTGTTCCAAATACCCATGGTTTTTCCATGGGTTTTTTTTCTAAAATTCCCATGGGAAATTTTCGTACGGGAATAATAATTGTAATTAATAATAGTAAACTGTTGTTTTTTTTGGATTAACATCTGGATTTTGTTTAGATTAAAATTCTCAGCCAGTCCAAGAGCTGCCATAGAAAGTTCACACACAAGATCAAAATTTGTAAAGGAGTATATGGTTGTATAGTCAGCAAATAGGGCTACTTTAGATGTAATATCAGCATCAGTCTGAACTTTTGAAATTGAAATATGGAACAACTGTGAACAATTTAGTATTAAAACTTAATATGAAATAAATTAAATTATAGCTTAAACATTTATGCTATAAATTAATGTTTTGTATTTTTTCAATGTTTGATTTATTTTGAAGTAGTTTTTTATCTATATAATTATTTTGTTGTTGTTCCCCAATTTCCAGTAGTATCAAAGTATTCCTATTTCTGCTTGTTTTTTAAAAGTATTTGTCAGTAATAAAACCTTTGTTTGCTTCAAAAATTTATTTGATGCACTAAGGAGGGGACTTAACGCAACCAAAATACAAAATAAAAAATGATCAAATTTATTCAGTAAATAATAAAAAGCCTTTAAAAAGTAAATTTATTATAACTTATTGAATAATTAAAAAGTAAATTTATTATAACTTATTGAATAATTAAAAAGTAAATTTATTATAAATTATTGAATAATTAAAAACAGTTATACCAGTAAAATATAATAATTGCAAGTACATTTAAGTATGGCTTTTACTTGGGTTAACTTTAATAACTTTGAAGTTACTATTTCAGTTTTATCTTTCTAGTATTATTTTATTATCATTTGTATTTTTTAATGTTTTTTTTAATAATCAAAAGTTTACTAAGATTTCATCAAATCTATTTAAAAGGTAAAAAATGGGTAATAAACGGGTAAAAATTGTTAAAAAATGAAAAAAGTTTTCAAAAGTTGACAAAAAGGTGTAAAAAAAAGTAAATATAAAACAGTAATAAAATATTATAACAACTTTTTTATTAATATACCTACAGGTACTTCATACCTACGCATCTGTAATATGAGGATCTACAAAAATAATTATGCCTATAGTTCATATTTAAAATCTGGGTTTCAGCAGCCCTTCCATGAGTTTCTGAAAGCATCTAAAACATTTACAATTATGTATGGGACATTGCACAATAGAATGAAAGGTAAACATGGAAAGCAAGACAGATCAATTGCACTCTCTTCAGATTGTAAAAATTATCTTTTGAAGACGATAAACGTTCTTTGTTATTTGAAAATGCCTGTTGATGGATCAAACTTTTGTTTAATGGTCAAACATTTTCTGGATCGCTTCAGTGTTTAAGAAAAGCAGTTGAAGAACAATTTAAATTGTAATAAATTTAAGAGTAAATTGTTCTTCAACTGCTTTTCTGATTGAATGCATACTTTGAGATCATTGAATGCATAGTTTTATTAAATGCCATAAGCAGATAAAACGCATTGCTTACAATGCAATTTGTCTGCTTTCAAAGAGAATCTTTGAATGCTGGTTTATATAAATATTTCTTTCTCACATAGCATTTCTGGCTTTTCAGTTAGCAGAGTAAAACTAAACAGAAATCTTGTTGCAATCTTGGTGGTGAAAAGTTTAAATAAACCTTTGATATATTTGTTAAGGAAAATGAACCAAAGCAATGATTAGTTGTAGCCTACACCAGGAAGAAATCAGATGTCAATTACATTGGTCAAGCAGTTGAAGTGTTAGAAATAGTAAAACTGCTTTATATAAAACTTTTAAAAAAAAAAATTTGTTATGGGTGAGGATATTTCATTTTTTGCTGTGATGGAGAGAACTACAGATAAACAGAGAAAAACTAAAGACCAATATTGCTAAAAGTAAAATATTGTTACTTTAACAAAGTAACTCGGATATCAAGCATGTTCCCAAAGCAAGCTGACAGAATAATATAAAAAATTATGACAGCATAACAACTTGCTATATGAGATTTGGAAAATAATTTGGAGTTGGTTTTCCAGTTTATTTAACCCTTATTTTGTTTTTTTTTTTAAGTAATGAACATCTTCTTATTCAAATTGGTTGAAAATCAAAAAAAAAAGATATGCCATTTGATCACAAAATCATTGTCAAATCTTTCAATATTTAATTATAATTGGCTAATTTTACGTCTACCATACATAACTACATTTTTACATTTACATTAAATTATTTTTCTTGTTTATTCATAAGAAAACCTTTGCTATTCAGCTCTTCAATGCCTGGATTAAAGACAGACACTTATTGGAGAGTTTTTTTTATTCTTCTTCTCATTTGGAAACATTCAAAGTTCATTGAATGCAGTGGCATTCAGTGAACTTTGCAACTATTTAGTAAACCTGTTTCCGTTTTAAGTGAAAGTAGAGAGAAGATTGTTAGTATGACACTGTTAGTGATAATACTATTTTTTCAATTAAATTAGTATGACACTGTTAGTGATAATACTATTTTTTCAATTAAATATCATTCCATTACCATCAAATCTAAACATTTTTTTTAATTGTGTATTGTCAGAACTTTTGTTGAATAAATGTAGTCTAATATCCTTTAAATTGTCAGTTTAGCAGACTGAAATAGAAAAAAAAACAAACACTAAATTAAAGTTCAAGATAATTCGTGAATTAAGAATCATGATAATTGTTATAAACAATAAAATATTTTTTTTTAAAATATTTTATATTTATAACAATTATCATGATTTCAATATTTAATAAATATTGAAAAGCTAGATATTTTTAACTAGACAATATGTTGAAACAACCAGATGAAAAATTTTCAAGTTGTATAAAAAAATAAAGGCATTAATATTTAGCCATATTCTATGCTTTTAAAAACAATTAATTTAAATGAATTTGAGCAACTTTGATTTTTTACAAAACATATATATATTTTATCAAGGTATTAATACAAAAAGTTAAAAAATTATCAATTCCAAAATATTAAAAAAAAAATTACTTTTGCAAGTCCAATAGTTAATTGACTTTTAAGAGTTGGACTTAAACTGAAACTCTTTGCTCCACCTGTAACTGATATCAACAAACGCGGCTGTTCCAAATCCATAACTGCTGTCAAAAGTTCAAATATTTTTTTCCCTTCATCATTTGCATTAACTCTGGCAAACTAAATAAAAAAAGTAATAAATAAAAGATTAGCACAACACAAAATACCACCTACAATAAATAGACATGGTCAGATTTACTTATACACCAAATAGGTAGCGGCCTAGGGCCTCACAATTTTTGGGGCACGGAAATGGGTCGGAAAAATGTTTCCATTCGCTAAGATTTTTAGACAGTTACTGTTTACAAACTTCATGATTAAAATAATCGGTACACAACAGACAAATTATTAAAGCTTTGTAATGTTCTATTAACACAATCATTAACAAATGAAATACTCTCTTAACAAATTAATTCCCTCTCTTTTTTATTTTTAATTCAACCCAAGCAAGGCTGCAAGCAACCACTAGGGTCTCTCCATATAAGATGAGCAAATTTTTTGAAAATTTCCTTGGTGACTCTCAGATTTTCTTGAAATTTACACCCTTAATAGGTTTTATGGATAAAAAGATTTTTTTTAAATTTCAACTTATTATCTTGAAGCATTCTAAAACTATTGCAATTTGAAATATTAATGTCTTTGCCAATATTGAGCAGTTTGTCTTTTTCAAAAAAGTCTCATTTTTAAATCCATATAAATAAAAATCAATTATCTTAAATACTTTAAAATCAATCTGATGGCAGTAACCTACTAAAAAAATAAAAAAATTTATTTTACAAAAATAATTATTTTTGGCCATCTGGGTTTAAAAAAAAACATTTAAAAAAAAATCATTATTAATAAAGCAAATGAAAGCAGAATACAATATAGAAGTTAGACCCCCCCCCCCCTAAAAAAGCCTCCAGCCTTAAAATGGTAAAATTAGTTCCATTTTAGAACTGAAAATTATCAGAGTGTCCAGTAAATTTCAGTCACCAGTCCAAAAAACACTTGAAACTTTTAGGAATTTATCTTTAATATAAATAGAAATGCAAAAAAAAAAAAAAAATGAGATGCTGCTGAAGTATCTGAACTTGAACTTTCTATCATAATAGGATTCTGGAATTCAAAATCAACCGTTTTGAATTTGTTATATAGTCAATATCTTTAAAACCGATGAACATTTTAATGTAAAAACTTGTTTATTTATTTATTTTTAAAAAAAGGAATTTAAAAATAAGTTTTAAAATTAAGATATCCGTACAAAAAGGCTTATATTTTTCAAATATATGAATAAATTTTAAATTTTAAAGGGCCATATAAAGTTTACTCCATTTTGTTGCATAAACTTTATATAAATATCTGAATCATCTGCAATTTCTTGTACAATTCTAATACCATTCATTATCATAGACACATGGAAGATATACTCCAGCATACAAATCACCTTTGAGGTTCGAAGTCCAGCCTTTTTTATTTTTAGTTGCATTAACAGTTGTAAAACATGTATTACCAAATATACCCTTCATTTCTAGCTTCCCATCATTACATGGTATAAAACAGTGATGTGAACGCATTCGAAAATTTTTTTAGAATTAGAGTAGCAGTCATAAAGCTTACCATTTTCTATATGATCTGTTATATTAGTTTCAGAAATATTATTGAACTTAATACCTGTTCTATTTTTAGTACACCATTTAGACATTTCAGTGACAGACATTATTTGGTTATTCTGCAGGCTAGTCCTTGCTACAAGTCATTTTACGATCCCACCAATGCCATCATATGGAATTTTACCATGACTTGTTGCACAAAAATACCACTCTGCATGTATTCCATGGTCTTAAAAATGATGACATAGATTGCTTAGAGTTTTATAGTTTTTGTATTGGCTAACCGCTCCATCACTAAAGTAATAACACATGGTCAAATTTGGCAAGACAATTTTTATATCTTCTAAAACTCTAGCTAAAAATGCATTAACAGAACTAGCATTATGTTGCACACAGTCAAATATTATGCAATAGTTTATTGGTTTGAGTTAATATTCAAAATCTTTGTAATATATAACGAATGGATGTAGTGTTGCTTAGCTGTTTATTCTAATGAAATCCTTGGACTGTGTCTTGTGCTATAAAACTATAACTTCTGCAAAATCAAGCAAAATAATAATTTGGTTTGGTTAAAGATTTTCTTTCAGAATTCAAAGGAATAATGATTGTGACTTTAAAATAAAATGGTGTGATTGCAAGTTTTCAGTTGTAGAAACAATTTCTTCAAGAAACTCCTTTAACGGAAGTTCTAAAGTTACCAAACCAATTGT